ATCAAATAGCACATGTCGAACTGCTTAATTAGCAATAGGAGAATTCGTAATGTTACCTAAAAACAGCAACACATTTTATTCTCATTCTTTCTTATCACGACATATATCTCTTAAAATGATAAATAATTAAATATTTTATTACATAAAATAAGAGGTAAAAAGTTATACAATAACACGCTACTAGAACAACTCTTAACTGTTTGCAAAACAAAGACACCAAATGTAAATTTAATGTACACAATACATTTTATCCACGAATCCAAAGTAATAACAACAAATTAACGGTTTGGTTTCACCAATGATTATTTGATTTGTTCAAGCAGCTGAATAAAGACAACATTTTCGTGAAATTCCGTTCAGCCCCCATTCTCTACAATAAAGAGCCTTTTGTAAGCTCACTGCCAGAGTTAAACGATCCCTTTTGGGCCAGGGTCCTGGGAAGGGAAAAGGTAACTGAAAGTATCACCTGCCCGGGCCAGATACCACCTCCTCGCCGACTGCAGGCCAAAAGGACACCCCGCCCAGCCCCGCTGCTCCTGGCCAGCCCCTTGGGCGCTCCACTTCAGCGCACACTCGAAAAAGCTGAAAAACACAAAACCTACAAAAATATGCAGAAGGCAACAGTGCGTCCTGGTTGTGGTCCTGGTGCTAGTCCTATTCCTCCTGCTGCTGCTGCTGCTGCTGTTGGAACTTTTACTGCCGGCCGCACTTCGGTGGTGGATTTTAATGGAACGCTTTGGGTTAATACAAAATTCTTTTGTTTTGCTTTCGCTGACTAACCTGGGCTAGGCTCGGGGTTGGCCAAATGCAGGTGGTCAGCCGGGTATTATGGATTAGTGAATGGTATGGTGGACTAACACGTCGCTTCCAAACAGTTCCTCAGTTCACTGACACTAAGGCGATCCCTACACGGCGATCCTGATCCGCTGGCCAGACAGAAAGTCCGACAAATCGATGGTTTTAGACCAACTAAATCGCTTGTAAGGCCGTAAGCGCTTCAACACCTTCTAACATGACTGATACTCAGCCCAATAAGTGGCAACAAAGTGGCTGCCCCAAATGAGACAACAGACAGGGGATATTGAGCCAGAAAGAGACACTCGTACTCGCCTAATGGCTGATATCGGCGTACCCCTTTCTCCTGGCCAAATCTCTGGCCCACTGCCGCCCAGTTTGGCATATGGAGCAGCACTATTTAGGCTTCGATACGCTGCATTACGCAATGGTGTTAATTACTAACACACGGACACTAGGCACCCGGCGAGTAGGAGAGCTACAAATACTACAGATATGGATACTTTGATACTCGGATACTTGGATACCCATATACTTAGATACTTATATACACACACTGGCAGACGGATAATCGCCGGCAAGCAACTGAAGCGAACTGGCAGTGGAAAACGGTTAACCAAAGACGGCAGCAAAAGCATTTAAAGCCATTTTAGCCACGGCGTCCCCAATAGAAAATCGTCCATAAAAAGGCAAGGTTTTTGTTTTACCTGAATCGGTGAGTTGTTTTAGATTCAGACAATAAACTTTAAAAGTATTTTTTAAGGATATCCCCCGGCATATGTCATTCAACCCACATACACGTACATACATATATCTGCCGATCTCCGACACCCCCATTCCATTGTAATTAACCAAATAGAATAACGCGCCAGTCGGCCGGTCTTTCAAGCCGAGATACTTTTAACCCCATGTGAACCGGGTTTTGTGAGGAGGGCGCAGGCGCAACTAATGAGCAACCCACCACCGTAAGCCATGTGGTGTCTCCCCCACCCACCCATTCATCGCCCGCCGGCTGGTCAGCCCGTTTGACCAACATTAAATTGAGCTGCGACTTCCAAATGTATGCGCCCTACGAGAAAGAGATCCTGGCCATATGGTCGTCGGATAGAGACCCTCAAAAGCCGTGCTCCGACTGAAGCGGCCAAACATATGTCGCAGGGGGCTGCGGTTTTCCACTCAACGATCTCCTGGCATGTGGGAATGTAAAATTCCATATACTGCGAAGTGTAATTCATCAAAATTTTCACAAATTCAATTTCCCGCAAACGGAGTGGGAAACTCGGTGTGGCTGGGCTGAAGGTTCAGTTACACAACAAAAATAATTAACTTCGGTCGGAGGTAAAGCGAATGGATACCTATTAAAAAAAAGGCACAGTAAATGGGAAATCCGACATTGTGCTGAATACTACTAAATATATATTTATGGACATCTATAAAAATGTTGAAATATTTCTGCATGGAATAGAAACATCATATACCCTGGACATCCTTTGAGCTTGACCCCTTTCTACACTCACTCTAAACCAACCAGTTTTGCAATTCAATCAAACTGCATGAAAAGCGACTGCTTGAACTTTAAACCACTGCAACACCGACAATCGCAACTGCAACTTGGCTAATTACCATCGCACCACAACTGCAACTTAAAGGAGCATTTCAAAGGATATGCCAGCTGCAGCAATCAATAACGAGGATACCCTCACACACCCTTGTACATAGCTGCAGCTAGAACAACAATCAGCGCACATAGAGAGCATAAACAACTAGCTGATAATCAATAAAGCAAAAGCAGGACTGATATATCCATAACAACCAACAAGTGGAACCCCCAACAGCGAGGGGCAAGGCGATTCCAGGGGCTGGGATGGGGCTCCGTTTTAGGGGTTAGGGGCAGCTCACAACTTTAAATACTTGTGGTAATGGGCAACAACTCTCAGAAACGGATGCAATGGCTTCCAATTAAACTGTGCACTGAAGTCGTTTCATTTGGAGTAAAGGAGGAACGGAAGGAAAGTAAAATACCGCGAATTCCTAGATAATCATCCAGATCATCCAGATAATGAATTGCAGAACAAATATTAAGGTCGATGAAAAAGTAGCTATAAATATGAAAGGCGAAAAGCGCTGTTAAATGCGAAGTCGAACTGTATTGCAATAAATACATATTGAAAATATTGCTTTTTCAAAGGTCGCACTCGTAAAATAAACAACATTACATACAAATATGTCTATTTTGGCACATCCTCCTCCAAGACACAAACTTTTAAGTGCTGAAATTCAATTGAATAGATAAGCTCCTAATAAAATAGCTGCACGCAAAGTGCAAGCCTAGCCAAATGTTGGGCACAAATGCCCATGCGTCGTATGCGTAATATTAGTTTCTAGGGGTGAGGAGTGCATATCGAAGGGCAGCTGTTCCCAGTCCTTGGGAGCTCAATTAAATTGCAGTAAAAACGGAGCAGCTTGAGGCTAAGGCTGAGCACATTTTGATCAGTTCATTAAAAGCATTAAAAAATAAAAACTATGATCGAGGGGCAAATGCAGCGCTCGGCGCAAAACCCTAAAGAGTGAGGCTCTCGACCTGCCACTCGAATAATTGCAGGTGTGCATTGCAGCAGGGAGAGGCAAGGTGACAATTTTGCGTCAGTCGAGCGAGTCAGAGTCGGTGTCAGCTTTGAGCCAGGCCCACAGCCAGGTCCACGGGGTGGCACCTCGAAGGCCCTGCTGCTTTTTCTTTTGCCAACTGCAGTAAAGCGTAATTGTTTTTTTTTTCGTTTTTTGTTCTTTATCAGACTAGCAAGAACAGCGAATTACGCGACTGCCTGTCGATGGTGAAACGTATTAAGTTGGAGTTTTACGGCGTAGCCAGGAACTTTAATAAGAACGAAACTTAGGGGGAAGGGAATTAAATTGCACACAGGCAACTTACTGTGAAATACACAACGTCTTGAACAAACGTTTTTGTTTAAGTTGGTACATTTTTAACAGAAATACAAAGCTAATAATATCATACCAACAAGTTATTTTAATCCATAAAACCTGAACGCATAGAATTGAGTTATTTTCCTTATTTTCCTCTATCTATCTTCTAAACACTCTAACCATTTTCGTTTCATACAAGTTATGGAAAAACCATGGAAACCATTAAACCATTTCCTATAACCTTTCATTCCGGAAACGCAATTTTTGAAATCGAACTATACTGTAAATGGCTTACTAATCCCACTAAAGCTAAGTAGACGGACATTAAACGCCAGATTAGAGGAGTTGGATGACCAATCCATCTATTAACTGCGTGCTTATCCTAAATAGATCCTGGTTCTGCGCTGTTCCGAAGATAATCGATGCCAGCCTGAGCTCCCCGTTCTTCACCCGTTCAAGACCAAGGCGCTGAAGCTGATCAGTGGCTCTTGATTATGGGGGTCGCAACATCAGCGAACGGTGGTCTGCACTTGGTCGGTGGGCGTGGCCGGGCTGCAGTTGCCGCTCCTCGCCTTCTGCATATTTAGCAGCGCTGCTCATGATAATGCGTGAGTTCTCATATATTTATATTGAAAACATTATGCTTTGTGCGGCTGCAGCGGCTAAGTACACAAAATTATCAGAAATTATGTGCACCTTGGGACAGGCAGATTCCGATCTCCCCCAGCGAACAGCCGGAGGGGCCGCCGACATCATCATCATCAGCATGACCGTTCATCATCATCATCATCATCATCTCCATCAACTGTTTGGCTACTGTAATTTCACGGTAACCTGCCCCGACATGCATAATGCAAATCAATTTGAGGCTATCGGGCGGCAAAGGGGGATTCGCCGCCCTTCACTTCATCCGAGGGACAAGTCAAAAGTCAATGGCGATGGTGATGGTGATTTGTCAACAAAGTGGCCAGCGGATCATTAATAATCGAATGTGGGGGATGCAAGACCAGTAGCTACCGAGATTGATGGATCGTCAGCGGGTGGCGCCACAAGGTGGCAAGCTGGTAAGTGGCAAGTGCAGCCAATCGCATTGATTGAAATCTTTCAGTAATAACAGAGCACCCAACAACCCGCTCCACAAACATTCCGCCTCCCGCTGTGCATTTATATCTGCATCTGTATCCCCGTATCTGTATCTTGGGATTCGGATTCGGATCGGTATTGGTTCTGGCTCTGGGATTGGACTGGGCCGTGGGGGCATGGGGCATGGGGCATGGACTCACCTCTTGCCGTTGCGTCGCCTTCGCTTGGTGGCGTAGACGGTGCCCAGCTGGCTCATTGCTAGGGCGGAGTTCGTTATGGTCGCCGTCGTGAATGATTTTAACTCTTATTATTTTTCGTATCAGTTTTTCGTCGTTTCTGCTGCCTTCTGCGCTTGTCTGTCGTACAGGTTGTTTCCTCGCCGTGGCTTTCTTATTTCGCTTTTTTCCTTTTGTAATTGGTTTTTATTTATTGATTTGGCTTGCTCTGGGTACACACTCTCACACACACGGACTCACTCGCACACAGACACAGCCAGGAGCTGAGTGCGATCAGATCCGCTGAGATCCTGCTGCGGGTTTTCGGTTTCGGAGTTGTAGCCACGCGTAAATTTCGTTTTTTCTTCTTTGTATTTATTTTTAATTATCATCACGCTTACATTTTGTTTGCTTTTTCATTTCCCGCGCTCCTTTTTTATTTGTATGTATATTGCACTGTAGTTTCAGTTGGTTGGAGCTAAATGAGGGATTTAATGCGAAACTGTGATTCAGCAATTGAGAAAGGCTGGGAATTTTCTTGTTTTTATTCGATTGTGGGTTGTATGACTTCTTTAAGCTATAACTTTGGTTTGCTTGAACCTATTTGATTTATTTAGTAAGTGGCCTCCGACGGAGAAAAGATTTCCGTTTCTTTAAAATAAATCCCATTAGCTTAATTTGTCAATGTCATGGAGCCGTTATTACGTTTTAAATTATAATTTTGATTAATATCGAAAAAATAGTATTTTAAAAGTATATCAAAAAGCTCTAATGATAAATGCTTAGCAATATAGAAAAGATTGTCACAGTAACGCGTATACAAAACTCGTAGATCGACTCGGGTAATGATGCTGATCAAAAATATATATACTTTATATGGCCGGAAACGATTCCTTCTACATGTTACCCACTTTTCAATGAATCTACTATACCCTTTTACTCTACGAGTAACAGGAATAATTATAAAACACTTAGTATGAGACACTTTTAGAAGTAAAATTGATGACGCGTAATAAATATTGAATATCCGTAATTGTATCAAGTGCCGATAGAGACTTAAATATTATAGCTCAAAAATATTTAATTGCTTTCATTATCCAGTTTTCCTTTCCAATAAAAAATGATGCAAGCAAATTCTTAAATATCAGAGTCAACCAATAATGTTAATTAAGTTGAAAGGCACTTGTGTTTATGGTGCCAGAAGTTCAAATGTATGTTGTTAGAAAAATATTTTCTTCTAGTCAGAAGACTTTGAAAATCCCTCAATCTTTTTCAATTGCTTTTAAAAACGAGTTGTTGTTTGTGGTTCTTTGTTTTGATTCGAGTGGCTGCGACTTGCAGGTTATTGTTTTGGTTCTTTCGTGGCAACACTTTTGCTTTTTCACTTGCACTTTTGCCGTTTGTGTGGCTGGTGTTGTTGCTCGTGGGCTCTGGTTTATCAATGGGCGATGTTTGCGATGACGACGCATGCAACAGAGGAAATCAAAATCGGCACGGAACCAAAAGCGCTAACGCAAGAACGGCACGCAAATCATTTTGCGGCACGATCGACGTCGACGTCGGCAGATCCGCCGGCAGCGTAGCCGGCAGAGCAACCAGAGACGAGTTGTCAAAGTGACATTTTTCAGGCACGCACATACACACGCCCGCGTGGGTGTGTTGGAATAGTAAAGAGGAGAGAAGTGAATGACCGCCGGCGGTCTGCCATTCGCACACGTGACTCCTCGTAGCCCTTGGAGAACACCCAGTTACAGGGTATCGCGTGCTGCGTTTCGCTTTTGTTTCTGTTTTCGCCTCTATTGTTGTTGTATCGCCTTTTTCGGCAGGCACTCACGCACACACACACACACACGCACGCACCTTTTAGCGGGATTCTGGCGACGGCGGAACAACCGTTAGGAGGGAGCAGCGACTGCACGCGAGCGCCAGAAACGAGTGAATGAGCGAATGAACAACAGTGCCAAAAAAACGGACTGGGACAGACGGAACGCAGGCATTTGAAACGAGGCACAAAGGCGATGGAGCGCGCTCTCTCACTCGCACTCAGCGGGGAGACGGGGGAGCTCTAAGTCGCTATCTCTCACTCGCTCTCTTTCAAACGTGACTCTGCTGCGCTGCGGCCACGTAAACGCTTTGAGATTCCAACAAGAACTGAGCTGGCGCCACGAAACGAATGGAAAAACCAGTCCTGGCGGAACGCACTGGCAATGGAACACGCAGGCGGCGTGTTTGGGCCGCTTCCAGTCGTCCTGGCAACGATCGATCGCCAAGCGACGCGGTCGCGTGGGAGTGAGACAGAGCGAACGTTGTTTCATTGCCATTCATTCCGGCGTCGCCATACGTGCGACTGGAAGGGAGCGACCAACCAAGTAAGTCTTGGAAGTGCTGTCGCTATCTCATTCGCACTCCGTAATTGCGCTCAAGCCGTTGAGAGGGCGTGTTCGCACACACATATTCACACTCACAGCCTAGTAGCGCCGACTCTTTCCAGCGCACTGCCAACTGGAAATTCGGGGCACATCGCTCATCTCTTAATTAATTAGGCGGTAATTAAGAGCTATCAGTGCTATCGCTCAATGGCATCTATCCCCCTTACTCTTCTATTTCGAACTTATCTGAGCCGGATTTTACTTCGTTTTGCCACTGAAATGCAAATTTTATTTGGTGTGACCAAAGCCATTAAGGCCATAAACATGAGCACTCACTTCGCGCTTATCGCGGATGATTTATTCACATGTGCCACCTGACAACCGCAAAAGAACAAGAATAACGAAATGCACACCGCTGCCCAGAACAGAACCAGAAATCATATTCGCACACCTAGACGGGCAAAATGTCCGTGCCCAAGAACCCGATTGGATAGTGGACAAGGCCCCTTTATCCCATGGCCCATATGCTGCGTCCGCCTTTAACCGCATGTCACAGATGGTGATGCCTGCAGTCCTCAAAGGCACAGTTGGCGCTCCTAAATAACTTTTCAAACAATTTTTGTTAAACTTCCTTGACAAACTCGTTTCCAGTTAATAAATATTGATCGAAATAAGTACTGTGGTTTATGAAAAAAATATGTTTGTTCCTTAAAAGTTGGGGTAATGTTGTAAAAGTTAATTTTATTATTTAGAAATATTTGTTGGCGTTGGAAAGTCCTGACTACAAACCCTTTAAAACCTGCAGTCCATCGAAGTCTGCCACATTTGTTTAGTTCCGTAAACAGAGTATTTGTTGTCCGATAAAAGCACTTGTTAAGTTTATTCATCCCCGCTGAGAAAACATTACTGTTATTATCGAATGACCACTGTAAAATGCCTTTTTAAGATGTATTTTTCTTTTATTGTGACGTCAGCCATGGTCGAAATGGCTGGCACTGTATTTGTATTGCGTGCAACTATTCAATGCCAAGTCAGAAGGCTAGAATCTTTGGCAGTATGCTGTCTCACTCAAATCTCCCTGCGTAAACTAAGGACAACAGCAGCTCCGAAGACAACAGGATCAGAAGAATCAGAGGAATCAGAGGAATCAGAAGAGGATCCACACAGAAGGCAGTGCATGTCAATCGATGGCCCTAATAAGTGAGCTGAGTCGAGTGGAGTGGAGTGAAGCGCAGCAGAGTAGCAGGGCTTGCAACCAGTTTTGGTGCGTTGCAACTTTCCCAGCTTGCAGCTTATCAATTAACGCTTCGACTTCGTAAGAGATGCGCACAGTGCAGGTGCTTTTCCCACCTCCCCTTCATATTCTTATTTTGCACTGCACTGCCCCCTTTCGCATAACCGCTCTTGAGTACAGTACTCACTCGATAAATTGAAAATTATTGCCATTACTGTCCAAAACCAATATGCGATGTTATATAATTTAAAGTTACAGCTTGGATATAAAGTAGTTTCTAATGCAGTAACGTACTGTAGTCTTATACATAAGTGATTCAACATGTATAAAAGAACTTGATGGTTTTTAATATTTTTGTGTTTATTTAATTATTGTTTTATTTTTAGCATAAAAATATATACAGTATATGCACATTCCCCCGTACATTTTTGCTGGCGCTTTTTACTGATGGCTCGCCAACAATTTCCCGATGACGTCGTTCCCCCGTTGAGGACTTATGAATGGTTTTCACCGGTATCCTTAATGCGACTTGCCACTCTGGGCCCACACTTCGCAATCTACCCCTCGTTTTGCCTAATTTCGTAACAAGTTTCTTATTAACTCGTTTTTGCTCGCTGCCTTTGCTCAGCAGCTGCCTGGTCACATCAATGTCACTGCTGATCACATCTAGACAAGCACTCTATATAGATCTATATAATTTGCCAATTAAGTAGGGGATAACCCTCCCCGATATATAAGACCGACAACATTAGCGGGACACAAAAGCCGCAAAACGATAAAAAACAACCGAACAGAAAAGATACAAATGTTTTTTGTGGAGCTCCGCTGCTAACCAGGCAAAGGGTCATACAAAATTCCACAGAAAGAAGGGAAGACCATTATGCATTTCCCCATAATGTTTACTCCGATCCATTGGCGGCGCCAATTAAATATAATTATTCTGTGTACATAAACAACAGTGGTAAGCTTAAAACAAGGTAAAGCCATAAAGTATAAATGTAAACAAAGTGCAATCTGGGCATACCCTTTCATTAGAGTAAATCAGGGAGTATCAGACAACGAAAGGGAAACGGGAAAAGGAAATATTGATGATGTTATCGTCTGTTCGTAATTTGTAAGCAATTTAAAACGTACAAGGACTTCTTCTTAATCTCCCACAAGTGTCTCATCAGGTGATTTCATCATTTTCTAAAAGTGAAAATATCGCCTACAAACAAAACGAACATCCACGAGCTTTTTAAAATCTGAAATCAGGCAATGCAAACGTTATTGAAATTATAGAATTGTTAGCACGGTATCTAACAATTCGTTATAATTGTAGGTATCCGCCGAAACAATCAGCGCCAACGGGATACAGAACAATGTTTACCTTTTTGAAAAATGCAACTGGCCAACTGATTCTCCACCCCGAATCCCCCCGCCCACCTTGCGCCCGATAAGTAGCCGCAATTATAATTGCCGTTTGTGGTGGCCCAAAAATGGCTGCCTTTGTCCAAGCTGAAAACACATTCAACATGACAAACAAACGGGCAGAAACAAAAATGTCATTTTAGACAGAACACAACACAACGCAGAACTCACTACACGAAACAACAAAAAAGCTGAAAAATGCAAACAATGGCCGCCAGCGGTAGCAGCGGCTATAACAACCCGCGATCAATTGCGCGAGATAAGTGGACAACTGCGCCACCACCACGACAGCACCACCACCACCACCACCACCACTGCACCGCTCTGGGAAGGGCGACCAACCCAAACGACTCACTGCGCCCACCTCCCTGCCACCACCCACTCCACCCACTCCACCGCCCCCTCGGTGCCCTTGCATCGCTGACATATTTCAGATTGAGTTGCCCCCACACCCTTTCTTTGAAAACTGTTGGTGGCTGAAGTTATTAAGCTTGACAAGCAGGAATGCCATCCTAATCTGGAATGACGAAAAACATTTCTGATTAGACTTCCTAATGCTAAGGTTTTACTTATGCAAGTTTTATTTTTTTTATACGTAAATTTAACACTATTTTCACATTTTTCAAACTCTTTTTTAAAAGCTTCACAATGTTAAAGGCTTGGGACTGTTACCAAGTTAGATCTGCTTTTCGGTTTGAATTAGTGAGTTAAGAAAGGAAGGACAAGGAAGGAGTTGAGTTAAGTATAAGAAATAAACGACATTTCAAGCTTGTTTATAATATTTTTAATTTCCAACATGCCACTTAAATAAGATACTTAACCATTTTATATTTACCGACTTTCATAATTCCGGTTGGCACTTCACGCTTTCGCAGAGTATTTCAACTCAGTAGCTTCAGTAGAGTGGACGATTGTTTGTATAGATACACACATGCACATATAGATGTGCTGGATAATATGGGCTCCTGTGTTGGCTATATGGGCACATTCGTGTCGTATTCGTATTTGACACTATCATTAGAGCTAATGCCAAAGCTGAGCCCCGTTCCTGACCCATCGTATCGCCAGGGCCCCATCCCGACTGTCTAATTATGCGAATGTCAATCTTTGTCGGCGTTTTAAGACTTTTCCGATTGCCCCGCTACGATTTCCTATTCGAATGCCACAAGAGACCAAACAAAATGTGATTTATGAAGCGATCCGGCCAGCGGATACGAGACGGATCCCGGCTGAAGAGCCAGTTCGGTTCAATTCCGCATCGGATTCCGCAATGGATTGGCAATGCGATGGTATGGTATGGTATGCTATGGTATGGTTTGGTCAAGCGGTATCTGAAACAGTTAATCGGCAGCAAAATTAATAAATCCGTTGAGTTTAATAGAGTTCAAAAAGCAAGAACGCACAGCGCAAAGCGAAAGGCATCGCCTGCTGGCTGGTCAGTGCCAGATACGCAAGTCGAGTCCCAGTCGCGAACTATAGGATTTGGCCGCATCTCGTCTTGGCCTCTGTGGTTTAGCTGGAGTTGGAGCTGGAGCTGAAGCGGAGCTGCCTTTGGGGTCAACGCCGCCGAGATGTTCCCAGAAAGATCAGCAAATGAAGATCTCAATGGGCTGGCCGAGTTGGCCCGGCTGGCTGCTTCTCGTCTAGGCAATGCGCTCAAATAAATTCAATCTAAATTGTAAGTTTGTTTAGCTGGAGGAGCAGGCCAGGCGGGGAGCGGGGAGGGGCCAGTGCAATAACAATAATAATAATAATGCAGCGAAAAGAAAGAGAGATGTTCGCAGGCATCGAACGGGCCAAATTAATCGACCAGACTCCGAACTCCAAGCTTGAAACTTGAAACTGGAAACTCGAGAGCTCCATTGCGAAGCGCCTCTTTTGAGCCAAGTACGGCCCAACAGCCGAAACAGCCCCAACTTTGGCTATTTTCGGGGCGCAAATAAGATTGATCTTTTGTAACTTCCATGCTGCTTTTCGAACGCTTCCCCGATCTGCCCCCCGCGCCGTCCCTTTTCCAGCATCCAGCAGCGGTAATTTGTTATCGCGATGATTTATGAACCATTGGAGACTGCGACTCGAGCAGTTTAGTGGGTGTTTACACAAGCCACGGCCAGACGGAGTGGGAGGAGGGGTCGG